CGGACCCTGGGTCTGTTCAAGCTTGTTAAAAGAACATTTTAAATTATTTAAATTTCGCGGTTTTACTGCTGTTCGCTTCAATTCCAATCTGACTACATTTTTTATTCAGTAAGAATGAAACCCGTTGTAATTATCCGGGACAATGAGTTACTGGTATTGCTCTGAGGTCCATAGGCTTATAACTCGATTTGTAGATCTGTTGGTACATAAAATCACGAATACTCTCGAATTTACTATGGCAATTGTATAGCTTTGCCAGGGTCATTTAATGTATTGTTCCTTGTATCCACCTACAATCAGTAAGTGGGGTCTTCACAGCAAATTTTTCTATTCCATTCTCCTCTATCAGTCGTCATCTCAACACTTACTCCTGTTTCTTTCATATCGTCATTCACACATTTACCATTTCCACACATCTCCTAGTCACATGCATCTCCTCTTTTAAAATGTATGTAACATTAAGAAATGGATTAAAACCGCGCTATCTGATTATCCCTGTGCGTAATTTTCAAGACCGTTCATTCAATCATTGTTACGAGCTTGCGTCAAAGATTCAAACTTTTACAGATAAATAACAGATCCAAGAATTCTTGGCGGTGTATTTTATGAATACCGCTGAATGATATTTGAACTTTATGAGAATGAGGTGCGATCGACAATTTATAGCCTCTTTGGTCTGTTGGTTAGCGGATCTGAGTAGCCGGGGATAAGGTTCACTGTGCGAAATTCAATCGATGCCTGAATGTACAGTTCCCGTAAGTGTTTCCAGGGTAAATAAAATAGGAGACAGACATAAGAGCATGTGGCTGATGAATTTTGGACTATAGATAATGCGATTCCTTGAAATAATTCATCGATAATTATAGTCTGAAGATCACAACTTAAAAAACCACAAACGGTGTAAAATAAAAGCTAGTTTTAAAGGAAAAATTTACGACCGATTTATTTTTAGTTTATTACCCGACTGATGTTCCGGTCTTACGAATTGCAGTTAGTTATCAGAATGCAACGCGAAACTTCAAAATATATCAACATTTTCAATGTAACGAATCGATAAGATAAAGTTCGTTAAACAATGTTTATGATGATGCATGGATAGTTGAGGTGTATTGAACAACAAAACGTAATAAGTGAACCACTAGTTAACATAGAAAAATCTACCTTAAGCTTTTTATCATAATCAATGCAACCTCCTGTATCCTAAGGTTTTTATTACCTAAGAGAGTAGACGAACGAGTACACAAAGGCTCCCACATTTCTGGTAAAAGATCACCAACATCCATGAACTTTAGAAATGCTAGAGGAACAGTTAAGCCATGGATCATCGCTAAAAACTCTTCTCAAACTCTTGTTTGAGGACGGACATGTCAGGGAAAACTTCATCAGTCAGTAGTCATCAGTAGTAAAATAATCCTCCTTATAATAAGCCACACTGCATCAGCGCTGCGCAGTGCAGATGACGAATCATCTCACCAGACACTCCTCACGAAAAATACGATACAAAACGCGTAAAGAACCAACTCTAAAGATAACTAAGTCCCAATCGAGCCAAAGATTCCAACTAATAGTGGATGTATTTCTCCGTTATTCTTGCTTCTTATAAATTTCGGTTATTGATTGCAACCAGACAATGAGTTCATTATCCATGCACCCTATTGAATAAGAGGCTTTCTTTGTTGAATAGCATTTAAAAAATGTATTATTGATCTATGTGATTAGATAGATGGGTCCTTCTCCTCTTCTGCTGATTTCTATCAGATGTTTTTCTCGAAGTTCTAGCTTTGCAATTACATGCGGGAACCCTTATTTATGCAGGAATAAAAATGCGCTTGGTTATTTTCTTGAAATTCCTCCCAATTAAATTTCCGTCGTAATCACTCGACCTAATGTTAAGTTTGACAAACTGATACCCGGAATAGATTGTTTCAGCTTTAATAACTTCCAAATAGTACGAGATTAAAAGAGATTTTATTTGGCTATAATTATTGTTCCAATATTACTGATGTTATAATTTTTATTTATCTTGACGGTGCTCAAACTTCAATCTTTCTTCGAACGAAAATTGATTTGATTCCAAAAGAAGTTTGTGTTAATCTTTTTTTGCTGCTGACATTTAAAATAACAAAAAAAAGGATTTAAGCTGAAATAAAAAAACAACTCAGCATCCGTTTGCCTTGATGATAAACGATTTCCTTTATCAATAAAGATACTAGTTTTATTATATTGTTGGGAAAAGTAAAAAATTGTCGACTGCCAAATGTGGCTTTTTTATTAGCGTGTATGAGCAAACGAACTCACGAAGTGATTAGTATTGCTCAGTCCGATCCTATCCATTCTTCTGTATCAGAAATTCCGCGTAATCTCNAACTCAGCATCCGTTTGCCTTGATGATAAACGATTTCCTTTATCAATAAAGATACTAGTTTTATTATATTGTTGGGAAAAGTAAAAAATTGTCGACTGCCAAATGTGGCTTTTTTATTAGCGTGTATGAGCAAACGAACTCACGAAGTGATTAGTATTGCTCAGTCCGATCCTATCCATTCTTCTGTATCAGAAATTCCGCGTAATCTCTTAATTAAACGGTAGGCAGCGGCTTGGCTCTGCCGTTAGCATTGCTGACGTCCACGAGCGACGGTAACCACTCACCATCAGGTGGGCGGTAAGCTTGTCTACCTACTTTTTCAATAAGGACAATTTACGAACGCGTGTCCACTATAGCTAATGTTCACAATTGACTTCCACGGTGAAAGAAAACATCGTGTATTAAAAATCAAACCCGCAAAATTATCATTTGCGTAATTACTGGTGGCAGGACCTCTTGTAAGTCCGCGCGGGTAGGTACCACCACCTGCTCATTTCTGCCGTGAAGTAGTAATGCGTTTCGGTTTGAAGAGTAAAGGGCAGCCGTTGTAACTATACTTGAGACCTCAGAACTTATATCTCAAGGTGGGTGGCGCATTTCCGTTGTAGATGTCTATGGGCTCCAGTAACCACTTAACACCAGGTGGGCTGTGAGCTCGTCCACCCATCTACACAATAAAGTTGCAAAACGCTTTGTTTGTTAACCGACTGGCGAATCGCATACTCACGCAAAATATGCGGCGCGCAACGCAAGCCACATTTCGTAGATTATCTTCAGAGGATCGCGTTAGAAAGAGAAAGAAAATTTCCTGATCGGCATAATCGAAACTTAAAAACAAATCCTTTTTCCTACTAATTAAATTCAACGCATGCATTTCATCAGGTTCCAATGCAGACTCGTAATGTAAATGAAAAAAAAATACGATTCTAAAACCTTAATGTAATCCAACTGAGACTCTGATTTTGGATCAGTCTTATATATATTAAAATAACTGATATAGCCCCAAAAATATATGAGCTTATTCCGCAGAGTGAGCCTTTGACGTAAAGCCCGTAATATGAAAGCTCAAAAGCTTATGTTCCTCTCCCGGGAATACATTTGCGGTAACGATAATTTCTTTCCTGATTTTCTTTGGCGATAAATTGAGAATATCTCAATTTGATAAATTGAGAATACATATCTCAATTTAAAAAAAAGATGTAGTATATTTTTCAAAAAATGTCTTCTTATCAACCCTTTTGACAATGACCGAGACGAATAATTGTACACCGGAATAAATTGCCTATAATCTTAGACTTTACAGCGTCAATTATTGTCAGGCGATCCCATATATAACCTGCCCTTGTTAAAATTAAAACATTAAAATATCAAATAGGTAATAGTCGTGGTTAAAGGTATAGTATTATATTTAAACTGCGCATTGAGATTCGCCTTCAAATCAGCATACATCTGTTTTCTGTCTGTTTCTTTCTCCCTCTCTATTAAATTTCATTATAATTCATTACGACATTCAGTATTAATGTTTTGGGTTCAGTAAGCTTAACCATACCCCATTACTTTATAATGTAGTAAGTAGTAGTGTATATCAAAATCAAAACGTTTTCAATCGAACTTGTTTGCTATTTTACATAGATATTAATTAAATATCAAAAGAACGGAACACCAAGTCAGAGAGAGTCTTGACTTTTTTCTATTCCACTTCTATCATTGAATACAATATTTGTATATTAGATATAGGTACATTTGTATATTACATAATAAGAAAATCAAATAGGACAGCCCGTGGGAATGTTTCTTGGTAGACTTCTTAGATGGGCAGTTCATTTGACGTTATGTGGGATCTCTATCTCACACAAAGAATCACATATTTTCCGAGTCCGACTAAAGAAATTCAGTTCGAAACTGACTTATTCTAGAACGTTAACATTTTGCCATTCATTTACTTATTTTAACTAGTTTATTTTTTCCTATTGAAACAACTGTATTTTTTCCTTCGTTTTGTTCGTCGGATGGATGCTTTTTTTTTTGAAGTCGCAAGCTATGAAATCGTTGGAGCGTGTCGATGCGGCATATTACGTAATGTGTAAGAAAAATATTGTTTGTACGCAGAAATGCCGCAATACGTATTTTTTACCTAATTCGAGTAATTGCCGCGTGACGTCATCGATAACGTCACAGGAAGAAACCGGTATCAAGCTCGATCAACAAAACAAAGATTGTTGTTTTATTTTTGTTAAATTGACGATGGTCTTATTGGAATGTTTTTTTATTCCTATTAAAAATAGTAAATCAGTCATCAATTTTTCTGTTTACGCATTACGTTCGGAATTACTGAAATTAATTTGTATCACGTAGAATTCACAATTAATTTATTTTGTAGCAGCACATTATTTCACAGTAAGTACACCGGCACGCCGCGGCCGACGCGTCCGTAAACAAACGTTCATTATTTGCGTAGAATCCAGCCGGCGAACATTATCATTATCTGCCGGCGAAACAAACGGAGAAAGTGCGCTTACTCGAGCTAATAACACTAGGTAACGTTTCTAATTCCAGCAGGCAACAGCGGACCGGCGCATCTGATCGTTTTGACACCTGTCACTTTGACAGCTGAGCAAAATCCATACAGCCTTACCTTTAACTAAGCGCTGCAGGATAATCTCCTTGTGCTCGTGAGTGTGGGGCTCCCCGATGACGGCGAGCAGGTAGCATCCCGTTAGAGGGCTCGGCGGGGGCACGGAGGCCGAGACCTCCGTCCCGAGGGACAGCGATCTGTCCTCGTCGTGGTCCATCGCCGACGGCGGCGCCGGCACGACTGCCGACGGTTCGGCCAGTGCAAGCGTGTGCAGTCGACCGCTCGACAGGGGAACTCCGCTCGGAATGGCGTCTGCCGGCCGGCGCTGGACGAGGCGCGCGCACCGACCTCTCATCGACCGCCCGTCAAGCGCGACACGCAGACGCCGCGTCTGCTTCTCCAACCCCTTACACCCGTCTTGTTCACTCCTGCACGGAACCCACGCCCGCGGACAAGGACGGTGCCTCCTAAGGGCGTATACAGAAGCCTGAACGAGCTAGCCCAGCGCACACGTGATCTGCATTGCGTCTAAACACGCCGGCTGAAAAACCTCAGCTGTGCGATAGAATGCGAAGACGGTGCTTACGATGAGATGATTTCGACAGCTTGACGTTTTTCAGCCGATCAGTTTTGTTGATACAGGAACGCTTCAAGCCTTTCCCGTCTTAAATTACAGCACAAAACTAAACAAAGATGCAGAGAAGGGTTTCAGTTGAGTCACGTTGATGTCGATATTCCTGACAAAACAATAGACGGGTCTAATAGATACAATTTATATTCATAATAGCGCGTAGGTTGCGTTCGCAAGAAAGTGAAAACGTTCATCTTCTAATGACTAATTCGTCCGATTTATTGATGTTTGTTTTCCTGTTAATGTAATCTGGATTTTGATAAAATGGCAGATAACGAGTATTGTCATTTGGCGGCTCAAATCAGACTTTATATTATGATTCCTTTTTATTATAGGAGGAAAGAATCTACCTTAATTTTACAGCTTTTTTTACTTCATAAGAATTTTATATCTATATTTTCATTGAGTTAATAGGATAATAATAATGTTTCTATAACTAAATTTATACGTTGGGATAACACATACACACACAACAACACATTCACACGATGATTACGACGTTTTAAGCCTTTTCAAATTATTGGAATACATACTTAAGTCTAGTAGACAGTATAGCATTTACTGTCGACGTATAATCACAGGATCATCACCATTTTATAATTTATTTCAAAATCATATGAATATATGGTTCACCTGATAGAGAGAGGTCATCGCCCATGGACAACAACAATACTAACCACACTACTGCCTACTCCTACTGCACTTTAAGCCCTGTTTGTCATTGCATAATCCTCCATCGAAATATAGAAAATGGTAAAAGTAAAACTAAAATGAATGCACAAAAACGCATCTAATTTGAAATATAATTGGAGTCATCATAACTGAGGTATTTAAAACTAAACAGCCCAAAAACTGAATCAACCTAGACTGGATAAATCACGAGCATAGAGTGCGGACAAGTCAAATTGCGAGCCAAATAAAGCTGAAATTTTAACAGAGAACTAGTGGTCCCGCAGTAGTCGAAATTCGACTGTAATTGATTGAAATTATAAGTTTGTACACTATTAAGATTCTATTGTCGAAGACGTATAAACTTCTATAATCACAGATTTCGCCAAGACTACACTTTAGACAAATATGAATAATAAAAAATATTTAATCTTAATTCCCAATCTGACCACAGTCTATAAGTAAAAAGAAAAGTTTGACCATAAACAAATAGTATGCATGCGCGTGTGTGTCAAATACATGGTTTTTTTATTGATTTAATATATTCTTATGCATAATTTAAAAAAAAAATTAGCATTCTGCATTCCTTCTCTATATTCTGTATAAGTGTGGAAAATTTCATACTCCTCCGTCCGCGCAATTTTCGTAAAAAGGGGTACAAAGTTTTTGCTTCACGTATTAATATATAGATAATATATAGATCCCTAATAAGGATGATTACAAAATTTGTTTTTTTACAACCACGCTTATACGTGTACTTTTTTTTTAATTCGGCAATACAGCCTGCCTGATGACGGTTTGAATGGAAAAAATTAAATCCAAAATAAAATTCCCACGACACTAATTGCACATATTTCTTAATAATTAAAATGAATGTGAATTTTGAGTCGCCTAAAAAGGGACAATAGGAGACGTAAAGTTATTACAAGGAAAACATTATATCCTTTGTCGGATTAACTTAAAAGACTATTATTATTCCTTAAAAGAGCATCTAAATGAGCATCTTATAAAATTTATTTACTTGTTTTACATATTTCTTTGTGAAAATATTCTGGCTTACAGAAAAAGAAAACCAGATCGCCAAAAAGTCTCACGCATACATAAGCTATACAAAAACAATCGAATTAAGTTGGTAATAATAAATACATAACAAAAACAGATAAGTAACAAACAGTATCTGATTAAACAGTCACATTATAGAGAAAGAACAAAACGAAAAGTCAGTAACACAGTATAACATCATCAAATTATGAATATGTTATAAAACTAAACTATTAGCATTGCATCTATAACTAACAACTAAATATCGACGCTTGAAAGGCAAACGTGACTAAGCGACAATAACTTATTTGTACATAAATGATAGGCAATAACCATATTCGATGCGCAAAAAAAATATATTTCTAGGTCTATTAAAATCATTTCAATCCTTCAGCTACTAGCTAGATTCTACTACAGCTAGATTCGTTAAGAAAATATATTTTTTCAGGAATTTCAACTTTAAATTATTATACTGTAAACGTTCACGCATTGTCGCTTAGTCACGTTTGCCTTTCAAGCGTCGATATTATAACAAAATCCAGATGAACGAGATTATGAACCAAAAAATAAATTATAATGTCAAGTTATAATGACAAACAGAACACGTATTTCCTTATTCGTCCGTTCTAAGCATATGTCTAGAAGGGTGCGATAAGGGAATATAGAATTTGTGAGGGAAAATATGCATATATAGTCGGATTTTTAATTAGACGAAGCCAGCTGACAGTAGCTAATGTCACTTTGTGAAATAATGTTGCTATATTTAAAGTAATAGTGTAGCGTTCAGTTCTCGTTCAATCACATAAATGAACAATGAGTGTGAAGAGTTAATCATTAATTTCAAACTATAAAAGAATATTATTTATATTTTACAATAAAATTGTATTAAAGTGATCCAATATAATAATATGTTACTAGTAGTATGTAACTACAATCAGTTTTTTTTATTTTCATTACCTATGTACCTATAATTGTTATATTTTATACATCTATAGTTTCAACTATATGATGCATTGGAAATAGGACAGTCTTACAAGCTTCCTCGCAATGTTTTTCTTAATGTTTAAAACACTCGGTATTCAGTACAGGTAGATACCATAGGAACATAATGTTTCGTCGAAAACTCGTTGGTATGTACAAAGCACGGCTGAAATTCGAACCCCGTGCCCGATATCGGCAGTTCGGCACACTAACTATTCACTAGACAATCGAGGCAATTTCATTAATTCAGGAGTTTTTTCAATCGTTCACTTTGTCACAACACTATTTTTATTTCATCAAAAACTGACAACACAGTAAACGTCAGTTTACTTCGTCTAATAAAAAATCCGACTATAGAACTCACATTAACGTCGAAATGGCGCCCTAACGATGTTGAATACAATATAATCCACAGGTACATAACTTTACAATATGTCAATCAAAAACCGATTTTAACAGTAAGTTTGTAATGTACACTATCGCAAGTTTTGATTCTCGCACAATCAGAGACAACGGATCGTCTAGATTTTTTATTGAATTCAAAGAAATTGGATTGGGTATAATTATTCTCTAGCTAATGAAGACTGGAGCAAACGCTCAACGTCTGTAATTCGTTCAATATAATTTATACGCAACATCTGCAAATTTTGAATTCAATCGTAGATAATGAAGCTACTAAATAAATTTTGTTAGATTTCGTTAGATAAATAGATTTTGGGTGGACGAGCTCACAGCCCACCTGGTGTTAAGTGGTTACTGGAGCCCATAGACATCTACAACGTAAAATGCGCCACCCACCTCGAGATATAAGTTCTGAGGTATCAGTATAGTTACAACGGCTACCCCACCCTTCGAACCGAAACGCATTACTGCTTCACGGCAGAAATAGGCGGGGTGGTGGTACCTACCCGTGCGGACTCCTAAGAGGTCCTACCACCAGCGACCAGGTCAATAGTGGTAAAGTTTGTTAAAAAAATCGGATAACAAACGGAAGAAAAAGGTTACGACCTGTTATATTTTTAGTCTTTGGTTATTCGTACATAAACATCTAGGACTTTATTAACGAAAATCTTCAGGACATTTTATTGAATTATCATTATCCTGCCCTTCTCCCAGTCACCTGGGGTCGGCGCAACATGTTTTCTCCTTCCATACTCTTCTATCATATACCATTTCTTCGCTCACTCCTCTCTTACCCATGTAGAAATATGTAGAAAATATGTTTTTTACATATGTAGAAAAAATATACAACCTGCGTCGTATAAACTACCGGAGACAACATAGCACAAGAAGGAAGGTTTTCTTTAAGACATGAGGTCAAAATACGTTGTAAATTGGACTCATTGTGAGTTTCATAGGCTACGGTATGCCTATGGTAATGCTGTAAAAAAGAGAAATAAGAATATTGAACATACACGAGCGATTGGATGGCAACAGTCCACTATAGTATATGACATATCTTTGACATAGGCAGAAATAGGTAGGATGGTGATACTGACCCGTACGAGAACTTAATAAGCCCCATCAAGATTACATAATAAAATTTATAACATTACATAAGCAAGCACCCTTCTAAGCAATAAAAAAAAAAAAAAAAGCCATGAATTATTTCAATGCCTGACGCATAAAATCTGTAAAATATTCGAAATATTTAAAATTAAATTATATTAATATACACCGTAAATATCCTTTTAATTATATATTTAACTACATATAAATAAAGTGTAAAATAAAATAATTTATATTACATTTAGTTGAACTTATGTTATTTACATAATATTTAGAAGGTTATTCAACCGTGATAGCATCCCATCGCGCAACGCAGCCACTCGTCGCAAGTAGATTAAGTACAAATTAATTAAGCCGCAAAATGCTCGCGATCCAATTTCATAAATGCGGGACCGAACGTATTTACTAATTGTATTATCCGTGTCGTTGACAGCTCTTGTTTCTGTGGCAGCGACAGGTAATC